GCTTTGGAAGGGACTCCAACAATCTCTGTGTTATTATCTTTATATTTATGGTGTAAACTTTGCTTCATTAAAGCGATTATTAAAACGTTATGGTTTTTGGGGTAAGGCCTGTTCAAACCAATGACTATAATGACAACGATAAAGTTACAGTGATTGGTTTGAACAGGCTTTACCCCAAAAAACTGAATACCAGAACATTTCTGTCTGCCCAAAAGTAATAACCACCAATCATTTCATAGATTGAACTCAACCAAACCAATACAGTTGAGTGACTGAAACAAAAGTCTGAATATCTTTCTGAATATCAAACTTTGTCAAATCCAGTGACCATGAGAACCCCAGGCACACCGAACCTGTATCTGGTTTACCGTGAGCTTCTTCGGATAAAAGTGGCAGGACTCGCTGTCAATCACTCCTGAAATGTCAACGGCAGTGTCTGTGAAGTTGTCCTTTCACTAGCGGTCACTGCATGCCCTCAAGCGGCTAAAACAATGGCCACCCACATGCAGTAATTAATTCCCCCGCCAGAGCAGAGCGGCTTCACTTTCATGAAGATCAAATCTTAGGAGTGTCTGGATGCAAAGTCATGAGAGGTCAAGCCATGCTAACTCAACTCAACTCAATTCAACTCAACTCAACTCTGTAGGGCTGAAAACACATGCTCCAACCTTAAAACGCTTCAAATGCTCATTAAGAAATGACTTATGGAGGACACCAGTGAATAAAATTTCTAACTGAGACCCATGAGAACAAAATGAGCTGAAAGGAGTTAAATAAAACACAATTTTCTCAACTTTACTCACTGGTGTCACTGTTGGAAAGTAAGTGGACGTGAAATACACGTGAGATGTCATATGAAAAGAAAAAGTGCCTCCTTAGCAATATTTACTAGCTGATTATCATGCCAATGCAATAACGCCAGTCTATTATGTTCTCAAACACTGCCCAAAATCTAATCTCATATCTTTGGAAATGGAGAGACTAATTACTAATCTGAATTGAAACAAACCTCAAATGACCTATGAAATGATCTGAGAGTTGTTAGTTAATAAATTAAAGGTTCTCCCCTGTGCCTGTCATCCTTAATACACTTGAATTATTTAATTAGGATTAGATGAGCACTAATTAAAAATAATCCAAAAACTTTTGTTTTTATACAAGGATGGAAGTTAAAATTGGTGCATTGAAAAAAATTTGGTGTGGAAACAGTTTTCACTCAGAAATTGATTGAATCAAACATGAAATTTTGAAAGACTGAAATAATATTGTCTTGTAAAACATACTCCAGTATTCTTTGTTTTATTTACAACTTTTAGTTGTTTTAGGTTAAAATTAAAAAAAATTTTACAGTGTGGGGAAACAAATAAAACGTTTAAAAATCAGACACTGCAAAACACATATTTATCATTTACAAAGCCCCGCACGAGATAAAAAGAATATATATCGCATATATATTCGTTTGCACAACTTATTTAGTTCCCTTGTTTTAATTAAATCATGACCACGATTTAAGAATTTATTTCCTCATTTTTGTAAATCGTGGTCATGTTGTACTAATTTGTTCTCTTGTTTTAATTAAATCAAAATGAAATTTGAAATGTAAATCAAAATTAGATTTAAAAACAAACAAACACTGATTTATTCAAATTCGTGCCAATGATTTAATTAAAACAAGGGAACAAATTAATAAAACGAGGGAACTAATTCTTAATTTTTGGCCACTATAATTTTTTTTTTTTTCACATGTCACGTATGTGGCTCCGAAATCAAAAACCATTACAAACTCTAATCAATGTCTATTTTAATCACAACTGATAATAACAACAGCTGAAAATCTCAAGTCTCAAACTGCTGGGATTTTACATACAAGTACCGTAGCTGTGTGTGTGTGTGTGTGTGTGTGTGTGCGCGTGTGCGTGTGTATGAGTGTGTGTGTGTGTGTGTGTGTGTGTGCGAATGTGCGTGCGTGTGTGTGCATGTTCCATGCATCTGTAATGAGAGCAGACAGTTCAATCCTGATGTCAAAGTGCTCACAGTATAAAGTCAGTGCGTGTGAGAGCCGTTCACACATGACGGTGGTGTGTGTTAGACCTGTCTATATTAATACGGAGCAGAGGAACACGGGTAATCTCCTGCTGGCTGACAGCTAGTTAAACACGCCGGTCCAGCCTGCTTTCTTTAATACATCACACACACTTACAGAACAACTACCTGCAGCCAGCTCTCACACACATACGAAAAACAAAGAATTAAATATAAAACCAGCACGAATAAGATACAAACCTAGAATAAAATAATCCATAATAACGTTTCCTCTGGTGAAAAAGTGCATCTGCTGTTGTCTCTCGCATCAAAATCCAGCCACATATTTGTTTAGAGCTGTTTAAACGCTGCTTGATCTGTGCAGATTTCTCTCCTGATTCACACCAGAACACTTTTTCACTGGAGGAAGAGTTATTATGGATTATGGACTCGTGTTTGAGTTAAAAACATCTTAATGCTGGGTTTGTTTCAGCTTTGGTCTTCTCCAGATGTTAACTGATGGACTGGAGTGCTGTGGATTACTTGTGGCTTATTGTGAGGTTTTTATCAGCTCTCATTCTGACGGCACCCATTCACTGCTGAGCATCCATTGCTGAGCAAGTGATGCAACGCTACATTTCTCCAAATCTGATCACCTAATCTCGGATGACCTGAGGGTGCATACATTTTCAGAAAATGTAAATTTTTGTGTGAACTATTCCTTTAAACTCATATCAACATAACTAAAATTGCCCTATGAGATTCACCACAAAGAACAACACAAAGAACAAGATGTTTTGCATAAGAAAAGACTAATTTCACATTTGTCTCCTCCAAAATTTCAGAAAATCTCCAAATATTTATTTCATAGCACTAAACTCTAAGACAAACCATCTGAGACAAAGCTCATATATGAAACAACTGACAAACACATATTCTAGTTCTTCATCCTTAAACCCATATCAACATAATCAAAAGTCTCCTGAGTGATTCCAACCACAATAAAGAGCAAAACAAACAGATTTCTCTCAGATTTGGCCTCTCTCATGTGTGGCAGCTGTGCATGATGGGATTCAAAATGCATCAAAGCGTAAAGTGGATAAAGGAGAAATGAAATGCACAAACACAAGCGTGAGACTCTAAACAGCAGCATCTCTCTCTCTGGAAGCAGAATGTCAATGAGAAGGTCAAAAGCTCTGGCCTCTCTTTTACTCGCTGCATAAAGCAGTCTGGCCTTTGGAAAGCAGTAATGAAGGATAATCGCTGAAAGACGGGTTAGATATGATGCTGGCCAGACTGACAGCCGCAGGTCGCACAGGAAGAAAGAATGGGAAAAGAAGTCAGGAATGAAAATATCAGTGTCAGAGAACAGCTACGAGCTGCCAGACGCCCTGCGCTCCTCCAGATTCATCAAGAGCCCACCTGACAAAGAGCAAACACAACAAAGACGTCCTTCATTCAAGGACACAGAACTCAACTTCTGCTCTAGTTTGGGCTCAGATTCACAGAGGAACTCTCAAATGAGTTGTTTAGCATGCAAAAAAGTCAGAAAAATAAAAGAAAATAACCTCAACTCATAAATGACACCTACATTTTTGTAATCATAATGCAAAATAACCAACCCACTGTCACGCTGAAGCAACAAATTAAAGCATTGTTACACTGTGCATCTCTTGTTTTAATTCAAGGATTTTTTTGCACAACGTTGGCCAACTAAACAACACAATAATAAAGTGGTTTTCTCCAGAAAGTGTCTTCCTGATGATTAAATTACGCTAATATACTTAACTAAAACTGAAACTAAAATTAAAACCATTAAAAAAAATCGTTACTTGAAATAAAACTAAACAAATAAAATGAAAAAAATATATATATATATTAAAAACCCTTTTTATTTAGTTGCCAAGGCAACGTTTCTTATTTTAATTTAGTTTAACTTGATGGATTAAAATAAATACATCTAAAACTGAAAATAAAAATTCATTCAAAATTAATTTAAAATTTTTTAAAAACTACTGAAAATGATAAATGACAAAATGAAAATGCAACAAATAAAAATAAAAACTAATCCAAAATAAAAACTCTAAACAAAAAAGAAAAATACCATTATTATATTATTATTTAATTTTTTTCCCCTAAAAATCTAATTATCTATTCAAACCTGTATTTTAATTCTTCATAACCAAGCCAAGTAAAATATACAAATTGTCATGTCCTCATCGTGAACAGTGAAATCCACGTTAAAAAGAACAATGTATTAACACAGAGTTTAAATACAGCATTTTGTCATTATGTAACTAGATTCTATTTCAAAACATTTCAAAACATCCACACTGCTACATTTAAATTAAAAAAATGGAACCTGCAGCAGATTCAAAAATGGAACTGACACCAAACCATCACACACATTCCCAAACATTCTCTTTTTGTGTTCCATTTAAAAAACAACAGCACACAGGTTAGGAAATGACATGAGGGTGAGTTAAATAATGACAGAATTAATTCTCAGGTTAACTAGTCCTCAAACAGGTAAACCCGCAGTGCGTCAAAGAGACTCTGATGTTCTTTGTTTTCACTCACATCAGCAGACGGCTGCTGAATTTCTCTGCGGGTCGATCGATACAGCCGGTTTCCCTGCTTCTGTCATTCCCTCTGACACTCACGGCCCCACGGGAGTCCGTTTCACCCATGAACCCCGGGCCGCCCCGCTCTATTCATCTCCGTAATTGTCTGTATGAATTATGTACTTGGCTCGGAGGGTGAATATGAATCCATTACTCTCTACTTCAATTATCAGAGCGGACATTATGGAAAATGACAGGAGAAATGATTACAGGATTCGTGAGATGTAATATGCATGACCTCCCAGAGTTGTGTACATTCATCTATCACTCCATATCTTTGCATTCATGGACAATTTTTCTTCATGCAGCACCCGAGGCACTAAATGGAGAGGAAAGCAGAGAGGAGACACTTACCAGAAATATCCTCTCCAGCTGATCCTGAATGTCCTTCATGCCCGGGAATGCCGCCACTCCCTGGATCATTTCCACGAAGATGCATCCGACACCCCTGAAACACAAACAAACAGCACTGACTCTGTACCCTCAGAAAGGTGATTTGTGCATGAATATCAGAATCAAAACAGCTTGTAACGCTCAGATGATTTATGCACTTTACGAACAGCCTGGAAAAGCAGGAACGAGCTTGATTGTTTTGTAACTGTAACTGCATGCAAGCGTCAGTGTGATTAAACATTCAGAACAAGCCTTCACATCAGGGATTCCCAAATCCTTTTGTCAGCCGAACCCATTTGAGCTAAAATATTTGACAGGGTTATTATAGCTAACTGGACCTAAAAGTTACTTGAAATAAAATATGTTGACTGAAATCAAATCTAAAATATGTAAACTTATTTTGTTTCAGCTAGTTTCCAGAGCAACATTTCTAATTTTAATTCACTTTCATACCTGCAAACTCTCAAGAGGTGGAAAAGATGACATGTTTGCGAATGTAATCCTTGTAGGGGGTCTGAAGAAAATTTCTGTGCATGCCAATGAAGCATTATGGCGCACTCTGACAAAATAATTAAGGGAAAAGATGACATTTGCTTCAAGTAAAAAAGCAAAACACACTGACACCACTTAAACTTTTTGGAACACCAGCCACAACTTCTTGCTGAAAATATTTATTTCTTCTGTCTTTCGGCATGCACAAGTCTTTCAAGTGCCCGTTTTCGCATTTTTTATAAATTGTAAGCATTTCGTTATAACTAATTACAAAGTAATTATATCACAATCTAATGACTTGTTTGCACTAAAAATATTTACTCAAATTATACATATAATATATCTTACAACTTTAATAATATATATTCTATACTAAGTTTATAATGGCTACTATTGTTCAGTAAATGACATTTTATATCATAATGTTTGTGTACTTGGTATTGAGAAACGGTCTGTATGTTAATAATGGGGATTTATCAACGACTTCAGAGAGAGTGCATTAAAAACGCTACAGCAGTGACATGATTTTGTGTGCAAGTCGGATAATTTTGCATTAATATTTCAGTTTTGTGCAATATGATTTTAAATGTGTTTAAAGTTTGATTCATGCATTTATTTTTTAAATGCATTATTTTGATTCACGCTTATTATTTTTCGATCTGTGACCATTGTTTGCTATTCTGAAAACTTTGCTTTCATTTTTAAACTTTGTGCAATATATTTTTACTTGCGTTTTTAAATTTTGGTTTCATGCTTATTATTTTTTATCTGTGACTGCAATAGTATGGGCGGAAAATTGATCCCATAATTGACAAACATCTGATCTTGTGAGATGATTTACACAGAGTGAAGTGAAAGTGAACAGCGAGCGCTCATTCAAAAGCAGTTTCAATACCCCACATACTGATAGCGCGAAAATTATATCGAATATTAGAAAGTTTGTGGGAGCGGGCGGTAACGGTCAGAAATTCAGAGAACAGTCCCACACAGGGCTTTGATCCCAATCCCAGTGCAGCCCTCTATCATGTGGATCAGTTTGCGCACGTATGACCTGATCTGAACCCATGTGAGAGCAAAGAAAGAAGTCAATATTTGACTATATTAAGATCACACCGCCCTGCATCATATTTGCTGAATGAAATCCAATACATCTCTTACTAATTTTGAGCTGCTGATTCCAGAAATAGTGTCTATTTTGCTCAAGCACATCACAATTTCTCACAAAATATGATGAGTTTGTAGCATTTTTGCTTTTTACAACCATTTGTGTGGTGAAGAAGTCTTATATTTTTCCTTAATCAGCAGAAAAACACACGATTCCTGTCTGAATCTGAGCCAGATTACAACTATCTGATCAATTCTCAGCTCATTTTCACATGCATGACTTTATTTTATTTCTAAATATTTCATGGTTAGAATTATGATCCATTGACAGAAGAAAATGCAAACATAAGTCAACTGTTTTCAGCTTTTACCGCATCCAAACAGCCACAGAAAATCACAGATTTTGTGAAATACGATTATTTATTTATAAACTTGTTAATGAAAAAATCTTTGACATTAAATATTTGAACATATTTTCTCACTCTCTTGTAGATTGTAAGTTAAATTATATATTTTGAATACTTCTGTTTGTCAGAAACGTTTGTCATATGACTGCTTTTATTTTAATATGTGCATTAAATCTGATACATTTATATATAATTGTTTTGTGAGAACACTACATGATGGAAAGTTTTTATTGATATTTTTGAACTCATCATTATTAAATTAGGTCATATTAGGCAAAAGAGGAGGGCTGTTATTAATTATCATATTGGAAAATTATCAGTTTTCCAATATTTGAGAGAATTTTGAATAAAAATTTAGTAAAATACAATAAAGCCACAAACTTAGAGTGCATCTCGCATGCTACTACAGTATATCAATAATTTATATAGTATCACATGATAAAGCAGCATTATATCAGCCATCAGTCATCCTGCTCACTGAGAGACAATTAAAGTTATATAATGGGAAAAATATAGAAAAATAACTATATTATTTTATCCTAGATCGGTGAAGAATAAAACAATACGCTGAGCTTTAAATAGCATGTATATGCATGAATCTGCAGATTTAACTGTTATTTGTATCATAGTCTATTATAATTTGTATTAATATTTTATATAATGTTATATATATATATATATATGTATATATTAGTAATTTTGCTGTTTTTGCCATTTGTAGTACAGTAGTTTTTGTTTTTTATATACTGTATGTCTATAGTTTTTTATGCATCTTTATTTCAGTTCATGTTTATTTCAAGCAATTTTTTATGCTTGAATTACCCTATAATTACCCTATAATGGACCCTTTTCACAAGACTGTGATGACGCATTTAACGGTCAACGCTAATGCTGTGTTTCTAATGCAGCGTCACTGGGAGGCTCTCTCTTTGACTGCCGTTATCAGTCTCTCTCAATTTTTTTCCTTTTATTGAAAGTCAAGAAAAAACTATCGTGGAGTTTTTCTTTTGCTATTTGAGCAAATGGGAATGCAAAAAATATATATTTGTAGTACTCTCCCATTCACTGCTCTTCAAGTTAACCCAACTATGACGACTTCCGCTGCCGAGAAACCCGGAAATGTGAAAAAGGTCCATAATGTGTCTCAGCGCCTGTCGGCCTCTGTTCGTCAGCATGCGATCGTTTCTAGTCCAGTGCGCACGGCTGTGTCCTTCTGACAGCAAATGGGCGAGAGCCACACAAACACACGCCAGCAATGAAAACTCAACCAGCCTTTCCAGAATCAGTCCATCCGTCTCCATAACAGAGCATTTCAAATGTGGATGTGATGTGAGTTTGCGACTGGATCTGACTGGCAGGCGGCTGATAAGATGTCAGCTTACAGTCGGGCAGAGAGACGAGCGCGTGCTAAACCCCATCCTGACTGATGCGTTAGCGTTACTGGGAAAACCTCCCGCACATGCAGCCGTATGGGCCTCGTCACGCCTCATTTCTCAAGACAGCGGCTCCTCCCGCCTCTTTAGACCCCGGATACCGGCCAGTTACTCCAGATCTTTATTTACAGCAAGACATTACTGGCAAAACCACTGTTTTTTTAATGCACTGGATTTGTGCTCTTCCATAACATGTCTCATTTCAGTCTAGTGGAAAGAAAACATCCAAAATACACATTTAAGAGTTTATTTTATTGCACTTTATCTATTTGTGTCCGTGGATTTCAATTACAATGCATATATTTAAATTTGTATTTATTTATTAAACATTATTTGAATGTTTTTTTTTTTGGCTGAAAATGTAGGGTTTTTTTCTGGCTTTTTTTTCTTTTTTTCTGATTTATGAAGTTATATTTTGCTTCCATAACTTGTCTTCTTTCAGTCTAGTGTAAAGAAAACATCCAAAATACGCATTTAAGTGTTTATGTTATTGCACTTTATCTATTTGTGTCTGTAGATTTCAATTACAATGCATATATTTAAATTTGTATTTATTTATTAAACATTATTTGAATGTTTTTTTTTTTGCTGAAAATGTAGGGTTTTTTTCTGGCTTTTTTTCTGATTTATGAAGTTATATTTTGCTTCCATAACTTGTCTTCTTTCAGTCTAGTGTAAAGAAAACATCCAAAATACACATTTAAGTGTTTATGTTATTGCACTTTATCTATTTGTCTACTTTAAAGGCTGATTTCTCAAAATGAGTTTCTTTCTCCATTTCAGCAGTACTTACATAGACCAGAATTTAAAGTTTTAATTCTAAAGGTTTTTACTGAGGGGTTTTATTCCTAAAAATATGATGTTTTTGATTTTATTTTTCCTGAAAATGTTTCTTTTTTTCTGATTTATGAAGTTATATTTTGCTTCCATAACTAGTAGAAAGAAAACATCCAAAAATAAATACTTGTATTAATTGTGTATTACTTTATCTATTTGCATCTGTAGATTTCAATCTCAATCCATATCGTTAAAGAGTTTTTCTCTTACAAACCCCGAACTTTACAGTCTTATTCCTCTCTATATTCTGAAGGTTTGTTCATATTTCATTCACACTGATTTATATAACATTTACTCCTAAAAACATGGTGAAAATGTTTGTTTTCTGTCTGTTGAGAGTATTTTCTGATTTATAGAGTGATAAAAAAGGCTTTATCCAATGTTCAGATTTATCTTCTGGAAATGTATGCAAATTAGTGCATATTTAATTAGTTATTGCCTTATTTGCATATTTAAACCTAACATTTCAGAACAGGACTGATTAACTGGGGAAGTATGGTCATATCTATTAGTTAAAAGTGTCTTGCTGGTAACACTTTACAATAAGCATGTTAATGCATTAACTTACACTAACAAAAAATGAACAATACATTTGTTGCAATATTTATTCATCTTTGTTAATGTTAAATACAACTGTTCATTGTTTCATGTTCATTAACAAATACAACTTTTAATTTTAATAATACATTACTTAATGTTGAAATTAGCTTTAAGATTAATAACTTGTTAACTATTGTTAACAAATGGAAGCTAAATGTAAAGTGTAACCGTCTTGCCATTTGCATGCAAAATACTCAATGACAGTCTGGCGGTTCAATATCACAGTTATATCAAATATATGATATGAATATGAATTAAATCAATCATATTTACATTTAATCTGTTTGTTATGGCGAGTGGTTGTTAGCGCATTACTATGCACTGCAGGACACTGAGGTTTAATTTAATGTTTGATTCTGGCCTTATTTGAATATGATTTATGACTTTAATTCCTTATGCAAATGTTGACATATGACAGATTTTATCCATATGCATAACCATTGTAAGGTTCATTACATTAGTCTAGCATTATCATGCTCTCGGTCGCACTAGACTGAAATTGCAAATCCACATAATTTCACCCTTATTCAGGATTCTTCCCCTCTTCAAAATATAATTTATATTTCAGGATATAATTTAAACTCAATAACCAAGAGGCTATCAGTTTCACTTTCAATCTGACGTGTCCAGACTGAGATTACGTGACATTTTTGTGACATTTGAGTGGCATTCTGCTCATCCACTCGAGAGCACGAGTGTGAAGGTCTGCTGGACCGGATACACACACACACACACACACTGTCTGGCTGTGCTTCTAATGACTGTTGATTTGTGCAGCATCTGTGAAACTGCCACTCAAGAGAGGAAAACACTGCAACGCTCCACTGCGTTAAGCATCGATTCACACTGAGAAAATGAGAGAGATGCTCGTGATAGAAAAACTAAACAGATGAAAGACCCAAAGAGAAGAAGAAGAAGAAGAGAGACCCTGTCAAAAAGATCCCCGTCCTCAAAAGGGCACAAGGTGTGGAAAGAGCTGGCCGAATATTGTGATGTTTATTCTTTTAAAAAGAAAAATTGTCAGGGATGTTAGAAAAATAAACCTTAAAGGGTTAGTTCACCAAAAAATGAAAATTAGCCCATAAATTACTCACCCTCAAGGCATCCTAGGTGTATATGACTTTCGTCTTTCAGACAAATCCAGTCGGAGTTATGTTAAAAATTGTCTTTGATCTTTCAAGCTGTTTCATGCCAGTCAGCGGGTGTTGCAGTGCTTCAGTCCAAAAGAAGTTAAATAAAGCGCATCCATCCATAAAAATAAAAAGTGTCTCAGGGCTCCGGAGGGTGAACAAAGGCCTCCTGTAGCGAATCGATGTGTTTTTGTAAGAAAAATATCCATATTCAAAACGTAATAATCACTTTAATGTAGCTTGTGCTCACTGTTGTACACTGGAAGCAGCTCCGGGCGGATGACGTATGAGGTCAGCGCTGCGCATGCGCCGGTGAGTCTCGTGAAAACCAACGTTTGTTAACAGGAGCAAAGGAAGCAAAGTTTCCTTACTTTAGCAAAGGAAAGCCAGTCTCCTCTTGGCTTATATCGAAATCCTCCGACATTCTTCTTTACAAATCCTCGTTTTGTACTTCTAATTCGTGACCGTTGTTTTGTTTTGATCTCTCCGCTGTGTTTCTGCGTTCGTCACTTCTGAGCCGCACATGCGCAGCGCTGACCTCATACGTCATCCGCCCGGATCTGCTTCCAGTGTACAACAGTGAAAGTCATATACACCTAGGATTCCTTGAGGGTGAGTAATTTATGGGCTTATTTTTATTTTTGGGTGAACTAACCCTTTAAAGTTTTTTGATTTCTCTGAAAATAATCTTGTCATTTTTTTTTCTCGGGTTTAATTTAAAGGATGTTTATAAATAAATAAATAAATATAAAACATTCTCATCTTACTGTTATAGTGCATCAACCTCATTAAATAGTTTCCAAAATGTTTTCAATTTCTCTGAAAACATCTTGTGTTATTTTGTTTCTCTGTTTCTCGGGTTTTGCTTGAAGGATGTTTAGATATTTTAATAAAAATAAAATAGAAATCTTTTGTAATAATATACACTACCATTCAAAAAAGGGGTCAGCAGATATTTTTTCTTTTCTTTTCTTTTTTTTTGAAAGAAATCAATACTTTTATTCAGCAAGGATGTGTTAAATAAATAAAAAGTGATAATAAAGACTTATATTACAAAAGATTTCTATTTTGAATAAATGCTGTTCTTTTTAACTTTTTATTCATCAAAGAATCTT